ATAATATATTAACAGAATCAGCAGCTTCTTAATAATTGATGGTATTTCACCGACTACCTAAACAAGTATATTGAAGTATTGATCGCGCGTTAATATTTAAACGTTTACAAGTCTTATGTTGCTTAAAGATATCTGCATCACAGAAGTCCGTGTTTACCATTCATGTCGGTTTGTCAGTTCGTATATCAATGCGTGAATAGTAATAATTGACGAAATGTTCAGAGAACCATCATATACTGAGTAACACAAATTAGAAGTAAGCTAAATCTGTGGATGCATTTAAGGATAATCAGGTTCAGGTAAAGGTGTAAATAGATATAAACGCAGTTAAGTCATTATTTACAAAACAATCGCAGACCGCTAAAGAGGTAATCCTAATACCCAAATATTCCTAAAATATGAAAATTATTCTCCTATAGCGGTGTAACTGGTGTGTCAGTGTCGACACCACCGCAGTTCAACAACTGGAGTTAGTTATCCACTGCGCTTGCTACTTGGCACAGTCGATAGTTGCCTCCACAACGCACGCGACGGAAATTTGAAAATATGAGCACATCAAACATCGGAATTATATCATTTAATTTTCCCGTTGTTACCGTTTCTTAATGATAGAACGTCTTTGACTGATACTAAAGATGTCCGTCAAAAAACATAATATCTTGTTTTCGACAATTTTCGTTATGCCAATACCTCCCCACCAGTAGACGTGGGAAATAAAAGTGTCGAAAGTGGGCGTCAGGAATTAAAGCCCAATCATCTTTATAATACGTTTTTTAGGTTGCGGAAAACGAATCCGGGTAGCATTTTGTCCGTCAATGTTCCATTATAGGGATATCGACAGAAATTCTAATTACTAAATTAATGCAGAACAAAAATCTGGCGCACCTGTGATCTGGATGAAATTTCGTTTCTTGGGTAAAGTGAGTGAACAGATTTCGAATCCAATGTTAATTTGTTGCTGGAAATTGCCGAAGGTCCGCAGGAGTTTTTTTACCTCAAATTTCGTCGATAACTAAAGATCGAACCTACAGCTTCGGTAATCCGTCTGCTATTTACGTCCACTTTGGAGTAATGTTATTGAACGTGTTGTAAGTAAGGATTCGAAATACTAATAACAAAAGAATAATTAATTCTCCGTTACTGAAAAGGCTGTATCACTGTTGTCAAGCACAAGTAAATACCTTACAAAAGTCGCAATAAAAACGATCGTTGCGACCTACCCACATCACGTTATAGTCCTGCTCCGTAATATGTGCATTATGCCTTTATCTGCAAAAAATGAGAGTTATGTCATTTGAACTCTCATACCGAGAACGGAGTTCCATTCACCCCATACGCGTATTGTTCTACCTCCTCCATTTCAATGCTCATTGGAACATCATTTTCGGTATAACCGTTGTGTACTCCAAATGCTGACTGTGATGTAATGAACATCGTTATTCACCTCAGGCTTTTCACCGGCGTTTCCCTGCCATCCGTAATTATGTTTTCTTCTGCAGCTGTATTTCCTTTTGAGTACGTGGAGCATGACACTCCGTCTCTGTAAAGGCTCGCTAGAAAATGCAGTTTTTATCTTGATTTCCAAGGCCAGACTGTCGGTTCATTAACGGGGATGTATGCCTCATTCTATGTACTTTTCAGATGAATGCATACTCAATTGAGCCTGTAACGTCTTCCTCCTTTGCGCAGTCATGATGTGTTACCTGAACGTCCGTAGAAACAACCTTCTTCGAAAACAGGTGTAATCACGACTTTATCCAAAGCTTTTAATTTAAGAGCGTCCGTCTCCTCCAAGTTTTTCGCTTAGACCGACCGGAGACCCCGAAGGTCCCATTTTCTATGCGTAGTTTTGAAATTAGCGTCCCAAATTACCCCATTGCATCAAACTTATCAAATCGGGAGACGAATATGGAATTTTTAAGATAAGGTGATCCGATGGTGGTTTCAAGAAAAGAGAAATCTCGGTAAAAATTGGAGGTGGCAATCCGTTTTCAAATTTTAAATGGATGTAAGGACTTTTGTTTTAACTCCATGACATTAATCTAGTCAGTTTGATAGCAGTTTTCACTTGGCTATCAGATTTGATTGCTGATCAAATATTGCCAACTCCCAAAGTTATTCTCCTGCTACTGCGGTAAAATACTAGATTGGCAGCACCAGCCGTTTTTGAAAAAAAAAAGATCTGTTGAGTTTGTCTGGGCGAATCAAACCACATATATGTAGAATGTCCCGAAATTGGAAGATCATCCTGCAAATGTAGATAGGTCACGTCATAGCTAACTAGATGACAAAATTTTGTTTTAGTAAACGTCTTATAGTGTTCGTTATTTTCAGGATTCTTTTTAACTAATCATAGCTTTTTTGGATCAGGTTTGTTTCAAAACACTTAGAATTAAGTATTTCATCTTGACTAGTATTATTACTCCTTAAGGTGCCAAAAAGCCACATAAGAGAGAGAGAGAGAGAGAGGGAGAGAGAGAGAGAGAGGGAGAGAGAGAGAGAGAGGGAGAGAGAGAGAGAGGATCAAGTACAATCACTATGCCAATTGTCCAAAAAGCTGGCCAACTATCGGCAATTTCTAAACAAATTATCCTTCAACATCAATCCTGTCCATTTTTTGAATCCAAGCCATGAATTTTCATTTCCTGACGTCTACGAAAACTGACCCTCCTCCAATATGACTGCAATAAAACTAAAAAAGAAACAGCAGAAGGCGAATACGAATAAAAATTGCCATTGGTCACTGATCACGTTTCAAATTATACATTAACATATTTTTCAGGTGTAGATAAAAGATTAAAAATGATGGCGAATGCAGTCGTTACAGGATATTTTAACATACTGTTGTCTTTGCAGATTATAAAAACGTGGTTTTATCAAGATTTTCGATATTTTTGGAAAATTTAATATGAATCTTGCTTGGAGTATGAAAATTGCATTGCATGATCATAGAACTATAAGATAGAACAGTAACTTTTCAATAAGTTGGGTGATATTGCCAGATTTCGTTACTTCATAGGTATTCGTTTTAATAACAATTACGTTTTAGCAATTCTTTGCATTTAATTGATTCTATAATTCTTTGGGTAGCTGCACTTGGTGCTGAATTATTTCGAAAGACCTTATGCTCTGAATAGAGTAGAGCTGCTCAGCTTTCGTTCGTTGTCCTCCGAGACCAAACCATGCCGAAGAGTTACCAAATAGAACGAACGTAATATTACTATTTTGTACAGTTGTTGTCAGCAAAATATGTATTTCTGTTTATTTTTTTAATTCTTACATTATCTTATAATTTGCCTAAAATTATATTTCCAAACTTTTGTTATATTGCAAAAGGTGTTCTTAATTAAAATATTTGTTTGTTAATCACATACAATCATTAATCGATGTGTATCTATTTTAACATGTCTTTATGCGAATATATTGTGTCCTCGTTATTTTCGTAAATTTTATTATTTTTCATTAAATATGTCAACGTCGCCGTAGAAAAGGAATGTTTTGTAAATACAAATATTGTCGAAATGTTGTTCATTGTAAAACTTGTTAAAAAGTTTAAATATCAACATATCTCACTAAAAATAAATGGAGATTTTGGTGTAAAACGTGAAATTGTGTGGTGCATTGCAATGAGAATTATCCATATACCTACACTGTTTTTCAACGGTATTTGTAATGTAGAATTTAAAAACAGATACTCAATCAGTAACTTGACTGGTCATCCAAATTAACAAAACATATAGATGATATGAAAAATATTCAACAAATAACAAATTTGCGGTACTGCTGATTTAGCCAATCTAGAATTTTACTGCTATTCAGCATAAAAGCGCTGTATTGTTGAACAGCTTCAGGTTAGCTGAATGCACTTAATGATTCACATGAGACATTAGCACAGTGTGACCATACAGTGGTGATTGTTAGCTCATAAGCGATGGAAAACTTCATCTTATAACAAGTATACAGGTAGAATACTAAAGCCATTTACTGGAATGGGACTTCAGCAGAACCTACAGAAGGAAGTCACTCAGAAAAATATGTATACATTCTCAAATGTGTGAACAGTAACTTACTGCTGCTAGAGATAAAAAAACTCTGACTATTTTTGATTATTAAAACTATCTACTCAACCAAACATACATATTACAGCAATGTTGTAAATCAGGGCAATATTTTCTAGCTCGGCAATACCTATTTTTACGTGTTGCTATCAGATTGCCAACTTACTGAAATCCTGATTGACGTAATCTATGAAATGTAAATAATGTCAGCTGCTGCAAAGCGTACAATTTCGTCATCATTCAAGCGTGATTTTGTAGTCCTTCTGATGAGAAATCGTTTCCAGGTATGTGTCTACACATTGGAGACAATACTGCTAACATATGATTAAAATATAGACGATGTATGGTTAATAGCCGAAGCGATTAACGTGTTACAAGAATTCACTTATAACCTCACTATTAGCCCTCCCTCGAAAGAGTGTTTCGAAAGACGACTACCCTTGCACCATTACTAAGATCAATTCGATCCTCGTCATGGCGCAAGTTCCTAGCGTTGAGCCGGGTCAGATTACCCTGCAGACCCTGATGAATATCAGGAAGTATGCAGAAGGTATCAACCCAGGGGTGAGTAGCCGTGTAACAGCGGCGGACTACGAATCTATCGTAGTATCCACTGTACAGCACCTCAGCGGCCTTTTGCTAAGACGTGTTAGTTACACGCCCCCTGCCTCCTTGGTCAAGGAGTTGTCGGAGACGGTCGGTTCCCTTTCGAGGGCATGTGCATGTGCATATATGCGAACTATGATTATGCTTCAACTGAATGGGATGAGTCTTTTCATTTCATGAACCGAAAATGCCTTGTTCCGCCTCTGTTCATTCAACACGCTTATCATACACGATAAAATCACGCCACATTTGGATTAAATTCTATTGGCTCAAAATTGTATATATTTCTTGAAGGGTCATTAGAATGTCTTTTACGTTGATACCAGTAGTTTTGACTGAACACACTTTTTCGCATCTTAGAGAATTTAAGATCTTTTTATATAATCGCTGTCCTAAGTCCGCTGATATAAACATAATATTCAGTTACAAATTTGACAAACTCAAATTTCAACCGTATTTCTTTTTGGATCTCAGTGCAATCTCACAAAACTTTGGTAAGTCATGCTAATTTTCGAGTCAATAAAGGAATGGATTTCATTCCGGAAATCAATAGATCACACAAAATATATAGGCTTTGTTCCTACTATGGGTTGTTTACACGAAGGACATGCCAGTTTGATTAGAAAATCTGTAGCAGAAAATGATTTTACCGTTTTGAGTATCTTCTTGAACCAAACTCAATTTCCTGACCAATCTGACTTTGAAAATTATCCAATAACAACTGACGAAGATTTAGAAATAGCCAAAAAAGAAAAAGTAGATGCTGTCATTTTACCAACAACTAGTGAAATGTATCTCGATGATTACCACTATAAAGTAACTGAAGATAATCTTAGTATGCTCAGAGAAGGCTCACATCGGCTTGGACATTTTACTGGTGTCTTAACTGTAGTCATGAAGCTTCTTAATATCGTTAAAGCACAAAATGCATATTTCGGAGAGAAAGATTATCAACAATATGAGTTAGTCAAAGGAATGAAAGAGGCGTTTTTTATCGACACAGAAATAGTACCTTGTCCTACAGAAAGGGACGAGAATGGAATCGCGTTAAGTTCTAGGAATAGACGACTTACTAAAGAACAAATGAATGTAGTTAAAAATTTTCCCTTGTTACTTTCATCTAAGCATTTATCACCTAACGAAATTACAGAGAAGCTTAAGGCATTAGGATTTAAGGTGAATTACATTGAAGATACAAATAACAGGAGATATGGTTCAGTACAGATAGGTGACATTAACTTGATAGATAACTTTAATTTATCTTAGTTAATATCTGTCCTTTGCATATCAAAAAAATAATACCGCAAATTTAACATAATGGTGTGTAATTTGTTCTGAGGTATGCTTCAGTTTTGTTTATAAACTACCCACTTTATGCTTAGCGTAAATGGATTGTCATGTTCATATCACTGAATGTTATATTTCTTTTTATAATCAATCAATTTTTGTACTTTTTACACACTGTCTAGATACTTGAGCTACATCATACGAAATACAAGTACCTCGTCAAGCAATACACGTAGATGCAGTAGTTACAAATGCACCAAAATCGAAAATTGTTGAGTTAAATAACTGGAATTGTAAGATCAATTTTGCTATATTTTAAACGGAAAGATTATTTATGACTGCTGGAGCTCTGTCATATTATCTTTTTTTGTTTGTCCTTTACTTAAAGTATGGCAATTTTAGTCGCATGTATGTCAATAAGCCACTATCAGTCGACGTACTAATTTGTTATCATGTTCTAATGTTAGCAAATAGTGATTGTAAATTGTGTCATTATACAGGAAATAGACTATGAACAAACTAGGATATTAACCCTTTCTCGGCTGAGGTTGTTTAAAGTGATTCGGAATTTATTCATATTAGAAACTTAATGCTTTGTAGAGGTATGTCCTCACTAAGTGTCATGTTCTAAGAATTGTGTTACGTCCGGATTGAAATAAGTAGGTTTTTAAGACAAATATTGAAATCATGTTGAATATAGGTTATAACTGTTGATGCAAGTGGGCGCTGACTTCAAAATGTTAAAGATTTCAACGTCCAATTACATGTTAGGCATGTGTCTGTAATTCTGTATCTGTTATTCAAAATGAGTCTGTTCAGCCTTAGATTGTGGCACTATCGTATCCGTAGGCTAAAGCTATGTTGTTCTTGATATGCAGGTAGCCTTTGAATGTACTCTGGTACTAATTTACATGTATATGTATTTATATAACCACTCCAGATTTGTTTGGCAGCTGTAGACATGTTCTGGTTCCAATTAGTTTTCTTTTAGGGTAACTTATTTTTTCAAACATTTTTTATCATCGATAAACAATTATATATAACATATGTTTCAATAAAGTAAAGCAAGTAACTGGATTTATTAAGAACTGCGTTTATTGTATGCAAGAAGTACGATGGCCACTTCCCAAAGATCGACAGAGAAGAAAAGCTCTAAGGCCACTTGCTCAATGCTGCTGGACTAGTACGTGAAGATAGTGTACAAGCGAACGAAATTCCATGCTACTGTGCTGTAGTATCCTATAGGTTAAATGCCGAATTTGCTGGGAGAAGATTTAGGTCGAGCTGGTATTGCACAGGAGAACTTGGCAACAGTAAATCAGTAAGACCAGAAGTCACTATCCTGCTATTGGAAATTGGGTACGAGGACATGATCTTTTTATTAATGAGTGGAACTCCTTGCTGCTGTGTTACAAGATAGACGGGGAAGAGTTCGCTAGGGAAGGTGCTAGATCTAGCTGATCTTACATCAGAGGATTCGCCAACGATATTTGAAGTGAAGAAAAGATATGTTCCTTTGCGTACGAGTTGATTGCATTGTTGTTAGTTCCTTGATTAAAGAGTGCTTCCTGCTGTATCACAATGTTGATGGAGGGGAATCTGCTGTGGAAGGTGTTAAACTTAGCTGATCTTACATGCAAGGAGGTAACAACGGGACTGGGTGACTGTGAGTCTATAGCCAAAAACCGTCCACTTAAATTAAGTAGATCCTAATGTGTACTTAAAGTGGCTCCTTGTCTGTTATCAGCTAGGCGGAGGGAATCTGTTGCGGAAGGGGTTCGATCCAGCTGATCTTACGTGGGAGGAGTCAACCACAGGACATTAGAACCGCGGAATGAGAAAGAACAAGACGTAGTCGTATGCGGCAGATATTCTAGCAATTTGGCCACTACAGAGGGGCAGAAACAGAATAAAGAGAAAGAAGATGATGTATGCATTTGGGATGACTGGTCAGCAATCCGGCAGGGACTTTCATCATTACACTAGCTCCAACAGAAGTGGGCGAACATGACAGACATTGTACCATAAAATGAAGGCACTCCAGTCATAGCTTCAAAAAACGTAGAAGAAAACAATGCAGATGTCAGTATCATAGATAATAGCAGATCAAAAACTAACATGTTTGATAATGCATGTTGCTTCTTTCGGGACAGAATAGAGGGATAGATTCGATAGAATCGCAACCATCCAGCTTCGTATAAATTGCAGTTAGAAGGAACTATTAAAAAAAAACATGGGACGTGGGCGCTTTCCCTAGAAGGAACCAGAAGGAAGAAGACGAACAACAGGACAAAGCTCAATCTGTTGTTTATACTGTCAGGCTAGTTTTCACTTAAACATTTGCAAGAAATCGTGAATAAATGGTTTTGCCTGAAATTCAGCTGTTTTTCTTGAACCAATATTGTCGAGAAACCACATACAGTTTTCTTATGATCACAATAATAATAAAAAGGCAGGATTGGTACGAACAATGCAAAGCAAATAATATGAAGTAAGAAGGTTCGTTTCATTCAAGCATCGTCAGACTGATATTGTACGCATTCAGCCAACGTAGGGCAGTCCAGCGGTGCAGCGCTTTTATGCTGAATAGCTATGGAATAGCTTTGACAGTCCGAAACATTTTATCAAATCTAAAAGCTAAGTGTAAGCTGCTGACAAACTGACTAAGATATTTCATGGCTACTGCTATTCAGCGTAAGAACGCTTCACCACTGAATGGTCCCCAATTGCTGATTAGATGTCAATGTCAGTCGGACAAATTTTAATATATAGTAGCAAGATGCATGGATTAATTTTCTTTGAATGTCCACTGTGAAGATTCGTGGAAATGTTATTCTAATCAATTGTATGATGATTCTATGCTAATCTGAAAAAAATTTCTCAAAAATAGCATACGATAATTCCATCTTGAGAAAGTCAGATTAATTTAACTAGCACCTCATGCCCAAATGCCAGTCGCTCTATTTATACGGGTAAGTAATACATCCATCCCTGTTGCAAGCGATCTCAAAGACAAAAAATTACATAAACACATTTAAGGAAGGAAATACCAAAATGCGTCTGATGTTTGCACAAAAATAGATACAGCTTTAAAACAAATAGTTTTCTTTGAAAGCATATGAAAAAATTTAAATGTAAGATTAAATCAACAGGCTGTGTCACATCGCATGTTTTCTGGTGTTTTGCTACTTTCCAAGGAGGATGCGTTTTAGATACCATCAAAACCAAACCCACTGATATGACGCAGCCAACATCTGTCGCTTTCTTAAGATAACAAAAGTAAAGCCATTGCAACAAGCGTTTTTTAGGGATATGGTAAGAAAGTGAATGAACTTGTAACACGCAAGATGTTTTGATACTTTTTCTTATATGTATGTTTTTGAAGCGACCTAAATTAATCAAGGAGGTTATTCGTTATAAGAATAAGTAAAAAAATAATGTTGTTGAACAATAATTGTAACTGTGTTCAGTCATCCCAATGGATTATCTGCCGATTTTTAATCAGTTCCATTATTACGTATGTTAAATAGATTTTAGAATTTGAATCAGTTAGTTACTATTCGACATTCGACACTGATTAGCAAGTTCACGTGATAATATTATCTTATCGTCTCTAATATAACAATGGGAATATACTGCCTGCTTTAATCTAGTAATGAATAATTTGTGATAACCTTGTTCTCCTGGAATCAGAATTAAAGTTCTTTTCACCTGTGCAATCCAACATTGCGTCTATGAGAGAAGATGAAGTTGATAATTGAGAACAAGAGACGAAACGTCATACTGAAACTCATAATTACGCCATCTTGTAGAGGAGAAAAAGTGCAAAAGTTACTGTACTATGTAATTTCTCATCCGATCTCGAATAAAGTAAGGAACAAATAAAAACTGTTTTCGAAAAATTCGATTTAATTGCCTCCAGTAATGCTCGGAATTCCTAAACTTCCTTAATGCCATTTTCTTAGATACCTGAAGTGCATGTACCTTGGAAAGTGATGCCCTCCTTTACACAGTATTTTCTAGAATCCATAAAGTTTTCTTAGGTACAGGTATTTCAAGCAAAATTTTATGTCAATCTATAGATTACAGCTATACCTGAGGAAAGTGAGAGTAGTTTTTTATCAATATCTCGCGAGAACGAGATAGGGCTTTGACATGTAATAAATCATTTTGGGTACAATAAGCGTCAAAATTGTTATTGAGTAAGCTTAAGTAACGAAGACCATCTTGAAGGTACAAGGCCTGTTCAAAAAGTAAACGACTTTTTTTTAACTTACACAATTTTTCCTTCTCAAGTTCAAAGTACTCGCCCCCCTATTCACAAACCTTACCCAGTGATGATTTCGCATTGGGAAATAATTATGTTAAGCTTCTTTCGGAATATTCTTCATTCCATGTTACAAACTGGTATTAATGTCATCAATTGTGTTGCATCGGAATACTTTCAGCACTGATTTCAATTTTAAAGTACGAAAAAATTGCGCAAAGATATAGATCTGTTCAGTATGGAGGTTGGTCATTTGTTATTGGCACAAGCTCTTGGAATTTTTTCTTCGCAATGGTTTCAAAATACCTGTTGAGGTCGATGGCCCAAAACAATTCGTAACAATGTGTATTTTCTAGAGATCAACACCGTAAGCTTTTTCAGAAGTTAAAATCTTTGGGTAAACATTCCTCACGCAAAACTTCACGTCGGATCGTTGCTCCCGAAAATCGCCACGAACAACAAAGCAATAACGCCATTTGTTAAAAGCAGATCACGCGAAAATCATGTCAAACACAACTGCACGACACTAATATACGAGTACTTTGTAACCGTGCAATCCAAGAAATCTGATTTCTTTTGAAGAGACCTCGTACGTTCCTCTAACACAGAAATTTAAGTTCCTGTATAAGAGAAACGTTTTTTCTTTTGCAAAGCTGCAACGTTTTATACTTCACCTCCAACATGCTGCGGTGTTAAAAGTATCAAATGGATGTTACTTTTCGGCTTTTTCTGCTTCCTGTTACTTTGTTTCAAAACACTATTTAAGTGTCGGCTTTGACAAGAGATGACGAGACACAGATTTAATATTCGTGAGTGGTATGACACAGGACATATGGCAATACGTAAGAGGTAAAAACATCATATATAAGCTGCAACTGGTAGGTATAATTCATTTTAAATTATAGGTAAATAGTACTGTAAAAATTGGTTTCGAATTCGAAATTGTACAATGAAGAATAACTTAGATTTAATATATCTAGTTTTTTCAATGAAACAAAAATTGCACGTCGCATTCAATCCCTTACTATCGCTCATTCACACGGAGGAAGACACCATTGGAAGACTAACAAAGAAAAACTAACAAAGGTAAGATAAAAATAAAAGTGTTACTCAAACGGAACTGGGATCTACGCTACCATTTGTCTATATCTGTCTTGTCTTTAGTTTTTAAATTCTTACCAATCCAATAGTAGCTTTACCACAAACATTACGAAGAAACATGTTGAAATTCACAGATCAATGGTACAGGGGAAAAATATGAATGTCACAAATTTGGTGTTTTGTAGTTAGAACCGGCAAACACGTAGTCTTAACGCATTACAATCCCATGAGGTATCGGAAACACGCAAAAACAATGACAGTTCGTAGTTGTACCCAATTGAAGACTTGCCGTGCAGAGAAAAAAGATAAATGTCACAGTCATTGTATTAAAAAAAAAGATGAACGTCCACTGATCGTCACCGAAACTAGTAGCTACTACAACAATTTACTATACACCAAACTTATTATCTTTAAGTAACCATTAGTTTTATTTTGTTTGTTCTATATTCCTTAGAATAGAGCTTACCTAGTTCCTTGTTTTTGCCTGAGCCATTAAAAAAATATTTAGAAATAATTAATTATGTTCGAGCTATTGAGGCTAAAAAATCACCTTTTTCTGATGTACCAGCCCTGTGTAATAAATTTCCTCTTAAGGTAGTTCTCATATGATAACAATTCGTAAAATGCTGGTTAATTAACCCTTAGATCTTACAGGGTATCGAATACGACGAAAGGCTTATTTCTAACGTCGATATCTCAAAAAAATGTCGAATTCAGGCATAAAAAAATTAAATACATTAAATACATAATTCTTACATAAAAAAATTAAAATCAAAAGGAAAATCGCAAAATACAAAAATAAAAAGGATTTTCCATTGAAAACATGTTTCGGCTGCTTTTACTTTTGAGCTACACTGTATATCAAAAAATATTTTTTTATTTATAATCTAACTTTTTCATAATTATTTATAACAAGAAATCTATGGTACTGCTTCAGATCTTTGACTTACATTTTGTGACATTATTACATTACACAAATATTCACAAATCAGTTGGTATCATGTTCGAGTGTGACATTATGGTAAAGAATCTACTTTTAAGCCGGAAACAAATTATAACATGTAGATATAAAAATGCAATGTTTTTACGTATATTTAATCGTAATGACTACAGTCGTCATTGTCAACAATCTGTCTCGACAAACTCACGATGGAAACACAATTGTGATAAATATGTATCTGCGCTTATCCACATGATCGGTGTATGTTAAACGTGAGTTCCAATACAAACTGACTTTTTATTGCAAAAAAATGGTATATTAGTTACAAACACAGTATATAAAATGTTCTAGCAATTTATCACTGAGCCAAAATGACAGTAGCGGCATCATTATTTATACGTATATGCTTTTAACAGTGTAATGTTATCGGGTAGTAATAATCCGGCTATGTCTCATATGCTTCAGTTTCAATAATGACAAGCACATTTTCGTGAAGCACTAAGTATAACTTTAAGGAATCGAACGGAACGTACGAGTATTCATATAGATCTAAATGCCATCGGCATAGTTTTCAATGATTCGACACTGCTCAATTAGTTGAGCGACCGATCTGTCTTCTCCAAGTCAATATGGCGATTGTTGATATGGTTAAACCAACAAACAAACCTTGACATTTTGCATCATTACTATACTTCTTTAAGTTTTGTTCTTATATCAATCCAGGAAATCAAGGTGACTGTTGAAAATAATCTAAACATTACAGCTGGTAACTATGATAGCTTCAGTCAAGCGTTTATGTATCGTCTAACATACTTATTAACATTTACGTCCTTTGTATATTTCACTTGACACCGCCAGAAATATTCTGAACGGAGCTCGAACCAAGCACCAAAATTCTTCAGGGATATTTTGCATTCCATCTTTAGGAACACCCTGATAAATATTTCTGTAAGATCATGCACTTGTGGGAGATACCTCGGTATGATAATCTAAATAATTCCTTTGTAGAATTCCTTTCTTCTGGAGGAGTATTTTAAGATGAACGGGTATATTCCCCAAAGCCGCTTACGGCTGCCTACTCGGAACTTCTTATTTGGTGTTAAGGCGGGACTTGCCACAAATCTGTCACCTATACAAACGATCACGGAAATCGTGTCCTCATGCTCTTTATAGGTATTGTTACGGCTTTTGGAGGGTATCAAATTACTTTCTTAGATATATCCGTCTGCATCACAAATACATATGCAATCAGCCACTCGCCTCGCTGAAAATTTTCTCGTCAACGTTCAAGTCATCGTTGGTTGTCAGAGCGGTCCGTGGGACCTTAGCTCTTGAGTCACTTCTCGTCAACGTATGAGTCTTCTAGATGTATGCCTGTCACTGCCAGATTGACAGCTTGCTTGTCATGTGCGTGCGATCTCCGATATAACAATGCCTGAAGATATACTAAGTGACATATAAATCCGAACACCCAGTTTAAATGGTATTATTTTAATAAAAGTTGGTGAATGTATTTATCTTACTGAAAATAACAAGTGAAAAAAATGTCAGTCTTATCAGTTGGACATTCCGGTTTTTATACTGTTTTTTTTTAATTCAATAACGCTCTAAAAATGAATATTTCAGCCGCAGTAAAGAATCAGCGTTGGCGGATTTTGGTTCTTGACATCCTTTACGATCGGTTACATTGCATCTATATGGTTTTGAAATAGAGTTCGCAACTTTTTATCTGTATCCCTTTTTATTTTAGCTTTACAGTATTCATTACTATTTGTTCATATTTGATTACTTCGTAATCCAGATATTTTTGGTCATATCGCCCTGATTACTAATGGTGGCAGTCTTAAACTTGTACGAAAGGAATGGTCACTTTACTGTTAAAGACGCCATCGTAATGTTTGTTAACCGATGTTTCAGGTAAGTGAAGATTAAGTCCGAAATTTTTACAGCAACCCATGCGAACTAAAGCTTGTAACAAAATGCAGATGTAATAAATAACACAATCTCAACTATTACATCTTTTACCGGTTTTGGCCGGTCCTGATCGCAATAGTATTGGTACTAAGGAACTCAAATAATTTTAGTCAGGTATCAGATGCCACAGCACCAAAACTATTAGCTATATCTGATAGTGCGTGTAGAAATAATTGGATGGCTACACTCTTTTTCTATCAAAACTTCTATTTAATAGAGGACACTGTGAGTAATCACCAAAATAAGACAAATTTATTTTAAGACAAAAGGCAATTCATATAGTCTGGTACCTAGATGAGAGAGAGTAGGTACCAGACAGGAGTAAGATGTCCATTACTAAAGATATGTTTCGTCATGTTCCTAATTGAAACAGCAAAAAACTCAAGTTTGTTTTATACATGAAAAAGGACACTACTATAAGTTGTCACACCTTATACTGATTAGATATGATATTTTAATATTATCTTGGCTTACATGTATTAATGGTTTATCTCGCTATAGCTGTAACTAGTGTCAAAATTGTCCCTATGTTGTATTTTTTTGAGCTATAAAGATACCACGGCTTACTGGATAGATGCCAGAGTCGTGAAGTACTCGTAGATATCATAAGAGCCAAAGTGAAGTCACGTAGATTTACTTCGTACTTCCCCCACAAAGGGCTACCGTTTTATATTACAGTAACAAAATTCACAGATGATGTTAATATACTAGGTGACATATAAATCCGAACACCCAGTTTAAATGGTTTTATTTTAATAAAAGTTTGTGAATGTATTTATCTTACTGTAAATAACAAGTGAAAAAATTTTCAGCATTATCAGTTGGACATTCCGGTTTTTATACTGCTTTTTTTTAATTCACTAACGCTCTAAAAATGAATATTTCAGCCGCAGTAAAGAATCAACGTTGGCGGATTTTGGTTCTTGACATCCTTTACGATCGGTTACGATGCCTAGAGTAGGTGTTGTCAGGCATGGCTTCAAGAAGGCCGTACCCAAAGAGCAACAGACCGTGAAGATCGCCGCCTAAGATTATTGGCCTTAAGGCACCGTTTCTCCACTACCAGGTCCCATTGCAAATGAATGGTTTGCAGAACACGGAAGACCTATTGGCATGCGAAGTGTTTACCGACGAATGAGAAGTTTTGGCTTGTTTTCATACCGGCCACACTGGGTCCTCCCTTTAACTCGAGAACACCGACGTAATCGCCTTGAGTGGTGCAGACAACGGTCACTGTGGGATCAGGAATGGAACAGTATTGTCTTTAGTGACGAGTCTCGATTTTGTTTAGGCATGCACGATGGTCGTGCCAGGGTTAGAAGGCGACGTATTGAAAGGAGGAATCCACAGTTTTTTGTTGAAAGACATGTTCATCACACTGTTGGAGTTATGGTTTGGGGTGCTATAGCTTATGGTTCCAGGTCGCCTTTAATCTTCATCAGAGGTAACATGAACGCGCAGCGTTATATCCACGAAGTTCTAGAACCCCATCTTTTACCCTATCTTGACACCCTGGCAGATCCAACTTTCCAACAAGATAATGCCCGACCACATGTTGCAAGGCTCACAATAGACTTCTTTCAACATAATGACGTCACATTATTACCATGGCCACCAAGATCTCCCGACTTATCCCCAATTGAGCACGTGTGGGATATGATGGGTAGGAGATTGCTCAATTTGCAACGTCCTCCTCAGACTCTAGAAGCACTTCGAGAGGAGTTGGTGGTTGCCTGGAATGAGATACCACAGGAGGACATTGACCACCTGATCAGAAGCATGCCTAGGCGCGTTGGAGAATGCGTAGCACATCAGGGTGCATCCACACATTATTAAAGGTCAAAGGGCTTTAAAGCTGTGCAATCATTTTGAAATTTTTATCATTTACTTATTATGCTTCATTAAGTACTTATACAAAATTTTATTAAATTAAAACCATTTAAACTGGGTGTTCGGATTTATATGTCACTTATTATATCTAGAATGTATATATCATATTGGTTAATAGCCGAAGCGATTAACGAGTTATAAACAACGTTCATAACCTTCTCTATTAGCCCTCCCACGAAAGAGTGTTTCGTAAGACAGCTACCCTTGTACCATCACTAAGATCAATTGATCCTCGTCATGGCACAAGTTCCTAGCGTCGAGCCGGGTCAGATTACCCTGCAAACCCTGATGAATATCAGGAAGTATGCAGAGGGTATCAACCCAGGGGTGAGTAGCCGTGTAACAGCGGCGGACTACGAAAGTATCGTAGTTTCCACTGTCCAGCACCTCAGCGGCCTTTTGCTGAGACGTGTAAGTTACACGCCCCCTGCCTCCTTGGTCAAGGAGTTGTCGGAGACGGTCGGTTCCCTTTCGAGGGCATGTGCCGACCTGTCGTCCGCGTCTCCCGTGGTTGCGAAGAAATCTTCGCAAGCACAAACCAAGGGGTCAAGAAAGACTACTGCCAATCCTCCTCCAAAAAAGGGTGGAAAGGCAAAGTCTCCCAGCAAGTCGGGTTCGGCAGATCAGAAATCTGTCGCTCCCGCTGGAGGCTCCGGGCGCCAGGGCCCGAGTTCGACGAAAGGTCTCCGGGACCAGGTTCTGCGAAACGCTCTTAGAGCGATGCGAACCTGGGGGCCAGTCCTTAAATATTTAGGGATTAGCGAACAGGAGATTCGTCGTAGCGTAGCGGATATCCCGCTTAAGCGACTTGAAGGGCAGGATAAATCTATCCCGCCCCTCATACGTATTGGTGTGATCACAGATGATCACATCAAACGTCTTGAGGAGGAGAAGGGCTCATGGGCCCAGGAAGTGGAGGATGCCGAGGTGCTAAAGCACCTCGAGTATCGTATCCAGGCCGCCAAAGGAGTGTGGCAAAGGCTAAATGCCCCCGCACCCTCCAGTGGCGAGCCGGCCGTAACATTACGGACCGGCTACCTGGCTCCGTCCTGGGTTCCTAAAACCCCGTTAGAGTGTTTCTCTAACCCTCCTGCAGGAGCGCGCCTTGCTAAAATTAGCAAGGAACGCGTAGTCACTCCACGTGAGGGAGAGCCGAAATGGCGTCTCCCAATCGTGTGGCATATAGGATAGTTTTGAAATTTTTATCATTTACTTATTATGCTTCATTAAGTACTTATACAAAATTTTATTAAAATAAAACCATTGGATGTTCGGATTTATATGTCACTTAGTATATATCTACAACGTCGTCAGGATTTTCAGAAACTGGAGGTAAACGATGGCTTCTTTCGCGCAATTGTGTATGTGGAAGAGCGAGTAGTAGCTGCTTTACAGATCGCCTTGCAGAAAGATAAGAAAACCTTTAGAAGTGGAAGTAAGACTTAAAAATAACTACTTTTTTTCACACAAAGACGGCCGCAAAATACATTTTGATAATAATAATGATAACACTAACAATAAACAGTTCAAATAGTTCTTTGTGATTATTACTAAAACCGATATGAGCAAAGGAGTTAAAAGGAGGACAGAAGACATAAGCATATCAACAGCACCAAAAAGGATGGATTCAGGTTCAAGTAGTACAAATGATACAGCTGATGCATTTGAATCTCTAGGAAATGAATTTATAGAAAGAATTTCATATCAGGGATTCAATCCTATAAAGATGAGAGCTATCTTGAATGGAAGAGAACCTAATCTTATAACTTTTACTACTGACATTGCAAAATTAATCATGATCTATTTAGTAAGAGGTACTAACTTAAAGAAAATGATGACAAAGACTGATCCATCAGGAATAGCAGAGATTAGCAAACTCAAGGAGAAATATCGAATTCAGGAACCAGGCACTAAATTATCAGTGGACTCTATAATTATGCAACGCATCGCAGCATGTGGATACATTTTAACTAATAGGATATTCCAGACAAGATAAACTAGAAATGGGAAAGGACATGGAAATTACAAGTTAAACTTCGAATCCGCTCGAAAAGTTCGTAGCAATAGCTTCATAATATTAAGGGTTGTTTGTTAAAACACATAATCAGGTGAAGTTTTGTAAATCTCGTAAGCATATTTGCATTTGCTGATCGGATAAAAATATGAATAAAAAATCGGTATTTCTCTAGCTTAACTACACCATCCTTATTTGATTGCTCGCCCGAATATGCACTAGGTTTGGGTTGTAAATAATGGAAATGAGATTAAAAGTGCCCGCCGGGTTAATTGCAGAACATGGTATTGTTGATATTATCTAGGTTTCTTGCCATTGAGAGAACCAGTCAACTTGTCAATTACTTACCGCTGTTTAACATCTGAATGACAAGTATCGTTCAAAAACAATGTATATGAATGAGTTCCATTATACCGTAACGACATTAGCACGTTTTATAGCAAAAATTTCGTTTGAACGTAATAAAAATATATTACAATTGAATCGATCTCTTGAATGTTGCAGGAGCAAAAGTACGTTGACAGTTATGACGGTGGCGGACTGTTCACTTTCATCCACGTTTCAGCTTAAATAACCGCGACGTTTCCATATGGGAGAAATATTAGAAACTGTAGGAAAATCACGAACACGCATATGTGCATAAAAAAGAAGAGTATGATAGCAACAAGTTATTTTCAAAGAATACGCTATAACGGTACAAAAGTTTTACATTGTTAAAATTAAGAACTCGGTTAAGTAATTTTTATATTTTTCTTTTGCAAAGAAAGTTACCGCATTTATCACTATATCTCAGAAGGTCTTATTAATTATGTACAGCGTTGCCTTAGAACGTGAATAGCGTCCCTCGATGTGTAAAGAGCCTAACAAATTTCTATGCCTAGTATACGCGTTCTGCTCTAGAATATACTCTACATTTCGTCGTGGCGCGTGATCAGTGCGCCGCTAGTGCTTTTGAGGCTATGTGGGGATGTGTAGTTCAAAATCATACATACAAATGTAATTTTGAAATCAAACAGTCACTTTTTTTATAGATAATAAAGAAAACCTATGCAGTAATGAAATCTGGCAACGTCGCATAACATATTGAAACGATGCTATCATATCTTGTTCTGCTTCTGTGGTCCTGTGATTCAGCTTACTCCGTCACATATGAATCATATTCAAATTTCCAAGACCGCCGCAAATCTTTATGAAATCCCCAAAGTTTCTGGAAGGAAGTGATTTCCTGTATAATAGCATACATTGAGAAGTATATACCGTGTTCAAACATTTCATCACTCAGAATTATACTGTGATGTGGGAAAGGCAGCCAAAAATTCATTGAACAAGTAAAAAGTGGCAACACGGCAAAGCTCGCCGGATGATCACCGCGAAGTGGGATAGAATGTGCCGGTAACGATAATTGCTGGAACGTTCGGTGAAACCGAAATGATCCAGTCAAGGTTCACCTGTTTAACAGGAATGGGCGCAAATATCCCCCGGCTTGCAGCCGCCATCTCGTCGAACTCCTGGTTTCCTTTTCCGGCAGTGTGTAAATGAATCTTGGAACCTGGAGTGGAGGGTCCAGGCAGTAATTGGGGAAATGTTTAATGAAGGTCCACATCAATAAGTGAGTGTATTTATTTGCACTGGTGGTTGGTTCTCGATAATCTATTGCTCAAATTGGATTAATTAAATATGTTAACAAGGGATTACATATCTTGCGGTAAGAGAACCATCATTGTCAACTTCCATGGGAAATCAACAATATCATTCAACAGATAAAAACAAGCCAAGGAAAGAACTGTCCCATAAGGCTCATACTCCTCTATCTATCTTGATGTTTGCCGAGCCAAATTGCAAGATTGTAGCGCGACTCAGCGTACGTGGCATCGGTGCCCAGGTTTAGATGCAGCGTGTTTTGACGATTATCGAAATACCGCTTGGACACCACTGAAAGGCGGTTTCAGTTAGATATCTTTTTTGAAAAACAATTAATTATGCAATGAAATTTGTGACGAGGTTACTTCACTAAAAATAGAAAGCAAAATTGAAAATGCTCCAACTCATATTCAAAAGATTGTTATTTATGAGAGCATAAGGTAATTAACTTCCTAGACATTCTATACCACATATCCACTGCTTAGATTATTAACAACGTATTGCAAATGCATCTCCTGGCAAAAACATGCTACTATAGCAACATGGGTAGAGCACTACTACCTAGTCCTCACAACCGAATATGAGGAATCATTTGCAATGCCTAATCAATGCGCACCTAAATCCGGAGAATACACTATTTTCATATTGGTTTCAAGTATCGCTATTGAATTATAGCCCAAAGTGGCACCCCTCGGAAAACAGCAACACACCAAATGCTTTAAAGAATGTTTTTCAAATAACACTCCATCATATCCGTCCATCGGTGGCATGCAAAATGTATATTTAATGCACCATCTGTTGCCTAAGCTTACGCCAAATCAATATAAACTGTAGCCATTTGGGATGAAAAATGACAATATGTCCCGATGACCGTTATAGTCCAGTCGTTCTTCAAACCTCATAAGCCCGTGATGCAGCGGTCATATATTCCAACACGAAAGAATTTGTTTGGGAAATTACGTTTAAAAAGGTACATAATATTCCATGCAAGAAATGGCATTTATACTAACTGAAAATAGCAGAATCATATTCAGCTAACCAGCCTAGCTGCTAGATAAGGTGAGGACGATATACGTGACTTTGTGAATGCATCGTTAGCCATTAACCAAAATCAAAATTCTGGTTAAGCCTTCATCTGTACCTAAGTATTTTTTCAAATTACGATTTAAGTCACGTAGAAAATAAATGAGTTCAAAAATCTGCCTCTCATAATGAACTCATCAATTTTATCCACTCCAACTCCATAATTTTTCACAGTCGCCCCCGTGGAAAGAGACTACGCCGAAAGTTGAGTGAAAAGTTGAGCTGTAATTAAATTATTGACACCATCTTAGCTTTGGCTGTCGCCTGGCGTTGACTTATACATATTCAAATATGCAAATTATCCAACGGTTTACAAGAGTTCGCCACCTAAAAACATCAGAGATGTGACTTCAATATTTAAAAACTGTTTCCCTTTGCATTTTGTTGTTCATCATAGTATTTGCAAACGAAAAGCGCATTAACCAATGCAATGGTCAAAGCAAAGAGAGCAAAATTCGAAGTAATTGCTTCATCCGTGTGTGTTTTGATATGAAAATAGTTAGCCAACTCTAATCTCTATACAATTAGATGCTGATAGCAATTATTTTTAGTGCCTCAAATCATACGCGAACAATCTGTCAAAAAATACCCACAAAACTCACTATATTGGAAAGCAAGGACTGCAAGTAGTCATGCTTGGTGATTTGATGATGTGTCATCAGAAAGTGGAGTTCCCATTAGGCCTTTACTACTCTTTTTATTCGGTACCTTTATCCTGTGTGACAAAATACTGAATTTATATGCAGGTGACACTTTATAATACTAAAAAAAGCTGAAAAGCTGATGTGCTGGCAAAGTTCTCCAATTATTAAAAGGCAAATACTGACAGTAGTCAAACTACGTAATGATATATCAAGATTTGAAATTTCACAGCGCTCTGTTGAGCCTTTACTACTCCCTCATCTCGCTAAATTTAACCCGTACGACAGAATACTGCATTTGTATGAAAATGATTCTACTTTCCATCAAAAGTTCATTCTTGACGATGTTAAAAATCAGTGGGCCACTCAAATAACTCAGATTTGAAGCTGAGCTTACCTAGGTTCTTGAAGATTTTATATAATATCAATCTGTAGTTGGGAATTACAGTATTCATAGTAAAGATGATAGTGCAACTATTGACGACTTTATGTCGCCTAGCTGATAAAAGAGGCTTTAGATAGATGCTATTATATGAATATGAATATGTGAAATGTTTTCTTTATTCAGGCAGCTGCGACAAAGTTTATTTTTCTAACACCACACGGGGCTCTATCTATTGGATAGGTTATTTTTCCACATTCGGGCTTGAAAAAGCTACTAGAAGCCTTGTTAGGCAATGAAGCATAT